GTGCCCGGGCCTCCTCTTCCTCTGGCGGGCAGCTCCCTGGGGCAGCCGTCAAAGAGCAGCAGGTGGCTTGCTTGCTGGGGGCACCCGACGGTGCCTCCCGCTCCAGCACCAGAGGCCCCGTCAGGCCTCGCTGTCAGGGCTCCTGCGGGCCTCAGTGTCGAAGTACTGCAACAGCTGCCACATGGACGGCAAGAGGCTCCACCAGGACCAGCCAGCCAGCGCCGAAGGAAGCTGCACAGCTGGATGAGCCCCACTGCCGCCTGACGGGCTCCTCCGGGAACGGGGCATAGGGCAGTGGTGTCCCAGCACTGAGAGGCTGAGCCTAGCCCGGGCTGCCGCCGTGGCCGCGCCCGCCTCCCTCTGCCACAATCTACCTCTCCAGGCAGTGGAAGGAGAGGCTGAGCCTGGCCGGGGCACTCTGGCCACTCGCCCCGGCCTTGCCCTCTGCCATGGCCAGCCCTGCCACCGCTGCCTCGGCTGCCCTGTGCCACTAGCTGGGGCCCATCGCCGGCCGCCATCAGTTGTGGCTTGGTTGCAGCCAGGATTCCCCTCTGCCAGGGCCAGCCCTCCCACCGATGCCTCGGCTGCCCTGTGCCACTAGCTGGGGCCCATCGCCGGCCGCCATCAGTTGTGGCTTGGTTGCAGCCAGGATGGAGAAGGGGGGGTGGGAAGGGGGCGATCAGGCAGCCGGGTATCCCCCCCTCCAGGCAGAAGAGGAGGAGGAGGGAAGGGGGTTAGGATCATATCCTCATTACCCCCAGGTTTTTCATTTTTACCCCATTTGGGGTAACTTTCCCCCCTGTTCCCTGACCACTGATTTAGAAGAAACTAATCACATTGACATTACTTTCTCTAACACTAAATGTAGGAGTGCAGTGCTAGCGCTGGAAAGTAGTAGGGCCATCGTCGTCTAGTCATTTAGTCGTGTCCGACTCTTCGTGACCCCATGGCCAGGCCCTCCTGACTTCCACTGCCTCTGGGATTTGTGTCAAATTCATGTTGGTTGCTTCGATGATACTGTAGGGCCATGGTAAGTAGCAAAAAAGTGGTCACTAGGTGGCACTGCAATGGCTGCTTATTAGCCAAAATTCCTTAATTTTAGGCAACTGTTTTTGGAATGAAATTAATTCTCTCCCTCCTGCTCCAAAAGAGGTAGACTACAGTGTAACCGTTTAACCACTGCACCGTGGGGCTCACATATGGTAAAGAAAAACAGGTCCCTGGCCTGAGGGTGTTCCAAACCAAATTATTTTTGTTTGGCCATTAACATAAATTCCAAAACTGGCTGAGACTACAGAGCAAAGGGAAGAGAGAGAAAACAAAGAATTTATAGACATAATCATTACATTTCTCCTTGCATTTGGAGGTTTTGTTATTTAATTAAAAACATAGATGTGACATGGCTCTGAAAGTATTGAAAGTCTAGGAATATTAAAGAAAAAAATGCAGCATCTAGGATCTTTTCTTCATATTTTATGATGAGCTAAGCTGATTTCCTATGAATGGCTAGCAGAACAGCAGCCAGGACTGAACAAGATTGTGTTCATATTTTTGGGCTGCAGCATGCATCCTCTGGAAGTGAGGGCGACAGAAAGGAAAGCTCTTTAAGGAAGTTGATGCAATGTAAGCATATGCGCTACTGGCTTTGGGGTCTCACTATGTTTCTGTTATATGCCTTGCATGGGCAGCTGGAACCAAAAAACAGAAGGGCATCTGAAGTCTGCAGCGTCTTCTCATCCAAATAGCTATATGAATACTGTATATTCTGCACCATTACCCCTCAATGCGGAGAATGGAAAACACTTGCCTGCTAAAAATGATTCATAACTTATTCAGCATCCTTGGCACATATTCATATCATTAAAGTGAGCTGGTAGATGGAGAGACTTTTGCCCATCCAGTGACTTATAAGAGCAATACCTTTTCTCTAGTATTTCCTTCTTTCCTTCTGACTATGCCCATGGTTACCATCTAGAATGATGATAATCTTCACGGGACTCACCCATTCTTGCTCGATTTGCCCCGAGCTTGTATAAATCAGTATGTGGGCCAAAGTTCAAATTCCTCGGTGTTGAGACATGACATGGCAGTCTATGTAGGCAGGTTTCATTCAAAACAATCACTCCCTTTTCTTTTGAGCGAGGAGGGGAGTGGTTTGTTGCCTACGGAGAAGGGTGATGATCTCAGGCACAACAATGATCTTAGGCACGTAAGTTGTCGTTCTGGGTGTTCCGGCCTGAAACTGTGTTTGCAGGGGGTTATTAACGCATGTTTGATGATTGCAGAAGAGGAACCACAGAATGTGTGCTGCACCAAACTTAATCAGTCTGCAGGAGGCCTAGCAAGACATTTTGCTCTGGCAGGAAATGAGGCATGACAAGAGAGAAAGTTATCCAAAAAAAGAGACTAATTCAGAATGCCAAATCGCTCAGGATTAGTCTGAAAAACAATATTCTCCCATATGTTACTAGCTGAGATAGGGAAGGCTTTGTTTAGTTTAGTTTCTAGATTAAAAATTTCCAGAATCCTTTCACCCGTTGATCATGTCAGCTGGAGGAAAAGGAAGGTAGTGGCCCCAAAAAGTACCTTGCCCAGATTCTGATTCTGTCCATAACTTCAGGCGTTTCCTCAGAGAGGAAAGGGCATAATGATCAGAAGGAGCCCAGTTCCATGTTCTCCTGGCTCCATGTTCAGAAGCAGCCTGGACTGAGACTGCAAGACCCCGTATTCTCTTTTAAATACAAGACACACCTGGACAAACATTTCAGCTTTTGTCCCCCACCGCCAGTCTATGCAATTAAAACTGTTAAGTGCAGCAGGGCTGTTTGGGATACAGCCTCCCTCCTTCTGGATTTGGGAGGGAGGACATGCAATATGGCCCACGGATCCCTGGCAGTTCTCTATCCCTTGTTAAGTCCTAGTTGCATGTAATAGGGACCTGTCTCTTTGAATTAAGAAGGATGTGCTCCAGAGCTAAACATGCTTCCAACTGGGCCTTAGAACTGCACGTATTGTGTATGATGCAAGTATATGTAATCAATAGACATTTGAGACTCTTGAACCTTCTAATCAAAGCTTCATTATTAAAAGTGGGAAAGCTTGTGGGAATTAACTAGAAAACCTCCCGTTACAAAAATGAGATGTTAAAGGTCCACAAAACAACATTAGTATTCATGATGATTAATGGGTCCTTCTCTTACTAGGAGGAGTCACAAGTGGGGTGCCCCAAGACTCAGTCCTGGGGCCGGTGCTCTTCAATATTTTTATTAATGATTTGGATGAGGGGCTGCTTGTCAAATTTGCAGATGATACCAAATTGGGCAGAATAGCTAATACCCTTAGAAGACAGAAACTGAATTCAAAATGACCTTGATAGGCTGAAACACTAGGCCTAAAGCAACAGAATGAAATTCAACAGGGGAAAGTGCAAAGTACTGCACTTCGGAAAAAGAAACCAAATGCACAGTTACAAGATGGGGGATACCTGGCTCAGCAAAACGACGAGTGAGAAGGATCTTAGAATTGTCGTAGATCACAAGCTAAATATGAGTCAACAGTGTGATGTGGGCTCAAGTTAAAGGAAGCCAGATTTCGGTTGAATATCAGGAAAAACGTCCTGTTAGGCCAGTACCACAGTGGAACCAGTTACCTCAGGAGTTGGTGAGTACTCCAACACTGGAGGCATTCAAGAAAAACGTAGATAATCACCTGGCAGATATGCTTTGATTGTATTCCTGCACTGAGCAGGGGGTTGGACGTGATGGCCTTTTAAGGCTCCTTTCCAACTTCACTTTTTTATGATTCTACGTATGAGAAAGTTTTAACAAACAATTCCATGAGCACTGATGTAGTTTTAGAGGCCTGAAGAAGATGTGGCATTCAACAAAACTTTTATTATTTCTTATTTTTACACAGCACCAGGAGAATATGAAAGGCAACACAGAAGAGACGAACAAACGGAGGTGGGGATGGTGTTAAAAGGAATCTAATCAACTCTGGCCAAAATCTTGCTGGGCAGTTGAGCAAAAAGTGTAACTTTTAAAGGCAAATTACTGCATAGGTATTGTCTGTTGCACAGCAAAGTCGCACAACAGATAATGCTGATCGATACTTCTTAATTTCTGACAGTCTGTTATTAAAAGTTATGCCTTTTGTGTAACTGCACAACAAGGTTTTGGATTCATGTGACAAATATATCCCCCTTTCCCCTCAGTTCATCAGGACTGCCATTTGATCGTTAGTTATTTGCAATCGTTTCTCGGATCCATTCCACATATTTGCATACATTAACATAGACTCCTGGTTTGTTTGGTTGTGCACATATCTGAGGACCCCAGGACACAATCCCTTGCACCTTGCCATTGCAGACAAGATTCCCACCTGAATCACCCTGCAAGAAAAACAAAACAAAAGGATTAGAGACGTACGGGAAGTTTTTCTATTTTTATCTTTCTTTTTTAATCTTAAAAACTGACAGATGTTTTCATAAATTTAGCTGGAAGAAATTGAAATAAAAAATAATAATTTGAGAGAAAATGCAACTAACAAATTCACCCAGATTCATCAAAAAGTTATAGCTTTTAAACATCTAGCATTGGTGTACACTTTGGTGCTGTGTTTGGATTGCCACTTGCTATTCCCTTCCCCCCCCCCAACACATTGCTTCTGACAGCTGCCTGCCTCTCTTCCCGATGGATTGGATCGGTGAAAACTCTGCTCGTGCCCTCTTAGATAACAATATAGCAACAGTGGGACATTTCTTTACAGTCAGAATGGAAGAACTTAGATTTTAGGTAAAGGTAAAGGTTCCCCTTGACAATTTTTGTCCAGTCGTGTTCGACTCTAGGGGGCGGTGCTCATCCCCATTTCCAAGCCATAGAGCCAGCGTTTTGTCCAAAGACAATCTTCCGTGGTCACATGGCCAGTGCGACTTAGACACGGAACACTGTTGCCTTCCCACCGAGGTGGTCCCTATTTATCTACTCGCATTTACATGCTTTCGAACCGCTAGGTTGGTGGGAGCTGGGACAAGCGACAGGAGCTCACTCCGTCGCGTGGATTCGATCTTACGACTGCTGGTCTTCTGACCCTGTAGCACAGAGGCTTCTGCGGTTTAGCCCGCAGCGCCACCACGTCCCACAGATTTTAGATATCAGAATACAAAAGAAAGCAAAACTGTCATACTGTACTTGTTCAGCCCTGAACTTGATGACTTCTACACATCCATTTCTGCACTGTGATATCTACTTGGTTGAAATCCTGTCGCACTTACACAAACAGTGTAATTTTTAAATGCAAACTGCCCTAAGCTATGAAATCTCCATAGGCATCCATAGTATATGGTGCATGCTGAGTCAATTTGCAACAGATAGTTTGTAAGACATCTGCGGAGATGTCTCAACTTATGGCAATTGGTTTCTCAAAGTTATGCTGTTTGTATACTTGTGCAATAGGACTTCAGCCTGTGAATTAAATTAAATTAAATTAAATTAAGCTGACCCGCCTAAAGACACATGTGGTATTTGAAAGTTCTCGTCAGCGTTTCTTATAATTCCTGCTGTGTGCTCACTGAGGGTAAACCAGAGCATATAAATGTCAATTTTCTATTACAATCCTCAGAGTGCCCAAACTAGCAAGGCTTCTGGGCAGCTAGAGGATTCTGGGAACTATTGTGCAAAAATAAATGTTTCCAGACTGTCCAGTGTCTGGAGGTGTGAAAATCTGTCAATCTTGATCTCATGGGCTGAAGCCTAGTAATTAGTTGCAACTAGAGTAGGCCTACTGAATCAATAGAATTTACATAAGGATTGACTCACCAAATTTCCATTGGACCCATTTTACTTCTGACTTGCCATTGGATTTTAACCATTGCATTTCTCATTGACCCAGCTGCATTCTTGTTCCCTCAGTTTTTTGTAATTTGTTTTTTTTTTTAACTCCCACATCAAACTTCATGCATATTTTGTTTGCTTTTTTCTAAAACACAGGCATTTCTGATGACTTTTTCCCATTGGCTACATGTTGTGCTTATATTTATATATCTGTTGGCAGTTTCAGAGGTGTGAAATGGATATTCCCATAGGTAAATATGGAAAACTTTATTTATTCAATAAAACTATATTCCAGAACGGATTGGTTGCAGTTTTTAAAACCTCATATGCTGCCTGTACTTTGAGTGTACTTTGGGTGGGGATGGGGGCTTTTCTGGGTTGGGGTGACTGCCAATCTATTAGGCATTAACCAATCATTACTCCTGCCTCTGAATTCAAACAAAACCCTGCCTCTCAGCTGAGCCCCCCCCCCACTTTAGTCTGTTGAAGTCTGTTTCTTTGTTTGCTGTTGATATGTTCACAACTGTAAGTAATGACACGTTTTTATTTATTTTTCTGCTACGAATGTCTCAAAGTGAGTTACTGGGAACATAAGTGTCAGTCAGTGAGAAAGGGGTGAACTATCTGGGGAACTTGTAGCTATTCTCTGTGAGTCTTTGCACCTTCTACTGTATAAGATAATTTACTAGAAATCCAAAACTCTGAAACAGAATTTGTCCATGGAGAAATCGCACAGCATAGAAATAATATTTTTTTGGACTGCAGGTTCCAGAATTCTCCAGTCAGCATGACAGTTATTAGTGTAAGGAAGTTCTTGGAATTCTAGTCCTATAAAGTAACTTCTCCAGGACCTCTGGCATCCACATGCGCTTGACAAATATCCTTCAAGAAGTTCAGTTCAACTCACCTGGCAAGTATCTGTGCCTCCCTCCATCCTGCCAGCACAGACCATGTTCTCGTTGATATATCCAGGATAGATGGATTGGCAAATGTTGTGACTGATAATGGTGATGTTTGCACAGTGCAGAACATCCGGGAAAGTTACTATGGGAGGAAAAAGAGAGAAGATACAGATGGTGGACAAAGCAGAGGTGTCCAGTTTGTAGCCCAGCAAATGTTGTAGGACAGCAGACTCCATAAAAGCAGCATAAGCAGTGACGAGAACTGAAAGTCTGTAGACTTCTGAAAGGGTCAGCAGCTGCTCAACTTTGGGACAGAATGATTTTTATTCTCCCAGTTACTTTTAATACCTGAAAGTACGGTCTTCCAAAGAGAGCGATTGGCAGGAGATGACGGTGGACAGAAGGAAGGATTTCTTCAGCTGGCATCTACTTAACTCATGGAATTTCCAGAGCTCAGAAATGTTACTTTTCAAAGAGTACAACTCTCAGAATCCCCCAGCCAAACGCAAAGAGAATAGCCCTATTTGGGCATTGCAGACTACCTCTTCAGACTCATCCCCTTCATTGTCGCTTTTTCCATGCCGCCACTGCTTGAGTATGAAGGCGACAGACTCAAGCCTACTTGCATGCAGGGATGTATTTCCCATATACTCAGTTATTATCACTAGCAGAAGAAAATATGGAGGAGGTGACTCTAGGAGCAACCTCCTTATTGTCTTCAAATTATGTCAGATGTCTATCGTGTTGGTTCTCAATCTTTGTGTTCAGATATAGCATGCCTCTGAATACTTGGGGGTGATTGTGGGGAGGTGGCTCGTTCTTCCATGGCACACTCAAAGACTTCCTTCAGGCATCTGGCAAATCATTATGAGAAACAAGATGCTGGATTAGAAGGAACTTTGCTTGAATCCATCAGGGCTTTTCTTTTTTGCTATGGAGGGTGAATCTGTCATTTTCTAGCCCGAGGTGTAGTTGTGGCTTGCCTACTTATGCCTGACTGGCCATACTTACAACTGGTATCTATATACAGTCCAGCAGCACTGAGAACCTTAGAATTTCCTGTGCTCTTGGAGACATGTATAGAATCAGTCCAGGGAAAGAAATCCACTGTTTATAAATATCTGTCATCAGTTAGTAAATATGATACACAAAGTCTCAGGAATGAATGGTGCAGGGAACTAGACAACACTATCTTGTCTATCCAATGGCAGTGTTAGCCAGAATGCCTGATATGCTACTACTGTACTACCAATAATAATAATAATAATAATAATAAGAAGAAGAAGAAGAAGAAGAAGAACAACAACAACAACAACAACAACAACGACAACGACAACGACAACGACAACGACAACGACAACGACAACGACAACGACAACGACAACGACAACGACAACGACAACGACAACGACAACGACAACGACAACGACAACGACAACGACAACGACAACGACAACGACAACGACAACGACAACGACAACGACAACAATAATGATAATGATAATAATAGTTGCAGACCTGGAAAGGATTCTGTGGGTCATCAAGTCCAGCCCCTGTCAAGGAGGCACAGTGGAGAATCAAACTCCCAACACATAGCACCGGAGTCACAGTGGAGAATCAAACTCCCAACACAAAGCACTGAGCTATCTAGCAGTATGCTATATCTATGGATTTTAACCTATGACTATCCAGCAAAAAAAATCGTGCTTAGAATATATGGGACATCATAAGTCCTTTTTAGGAAATCCTCTAGGTACTTGCTCTGCAATTTTCCTGTTACATTTCTTATGTCTACGCTATGGTCATGTCCAGTCATATTCTCATTTTGAAATACGTTATTAGTTAAATTAATTTTGTATTGGGCTATTCTTTGATCTTTGTCAACACCTATGTACTCTCCAACTATTTGCCAGCTGCTTGGCATGGACTCTCCATGCTTTTATTATTGCCAAAGATAACAAGATAAGAGGATGTTCCAACACTAATGACATATGAATGCAGGGCATATAGACAACAGCTACAAAAATATGTGTTTTTAGTTGTTTGGAACAGAAGTTTATGACTTTTTTCTCCTTTCTTCTTCTTTTCCCTTCAAAACAGCATTACTACTAAGTCTCTATTCCGTTGCATTTTCTTCTTAGCTGTTATGTTCCTTTGTTTATTTTTAAATATTAACAAATAGAGACGAGCAGTGGTTTGTTTATCGGCCAAGCAGGTGTTTGACACTTCAGAGCCCAACCTGGTGGGTGCCCACCTGGATTCAGTGGCCTGGCTTCTGTGCCTCGCTGAGTGGGTGCCCACTGGAGGATGCAGGACTTTGAAGGGCTGAACACCTGCTCAGCCAATAAACAAACCACCAAACTGACAATTCGCACCCATCCCTATTAACAAATAGTATTATTTTTTAAAATATCACAAGCAGGAACTATTAACAAATAGTATTATTTTTTAAAATGTCACTAGCAGACCATCCCTTCAGCGATGTCATTCAACCAGTGATGTCTGCGTTGCTCACTTTCACGAATTCACAGAGGTCTCTATGACTCTTCTGTTGTAATATCTTCAAATAGTTGGGGCAGATGGCATGCCTCATCCTAACCAATAATTTCTTAGGGGCAAAAAATCACAGGAAGCTGACTTATCCTGATTCAGACCCTCAGTCAATCCAGTACTGTTGATGCTGTCCTGCTACAACTGTCCATGATTTCAGGCATGGAATCCCTATCTGGAGATGCCAGTAACTAGGAACATCTGTGCTCAGAGCATTTGGTCTCCCTCTAGAAAGACCAATAGAGCCATCTTAAGCTCTGGCCCTCCAGAGGCTTTGGGATGGTGACCCCTATGCTACTCCCTCTCTATGCTGTTGAGGGCTTTGTGGTGTTCAGAGGAGACACTCTAGAATGCTCTTGCACCATAGAGAGCTGCTGTATCTGCCACCAAGTAATAATAGCAAAAAATGGGCCCTTCCAAATTGTGGCACTTCTGGGTGAATTTCAACAGCAGTAGTAATAAGTTCAAAGGGGCATGCATGACAAATGTGACCTTTTTTGGACTGTATTTCCAGAATACAGAACCAACTGAGGTGATCTGGGAGTAGTAATCCAAAAACATTAGGTCACATTTCTTTTCTGTGGCCCAGAAGCTTTGAAGTGACCCACCTCTGGGGTATTCGAGTGCAGCCTAAACCACAGCCTACAGAAAATAAGTCCATAAGGTTATGAAAGCTACTAAGAGACTGGGTATGAGGAACAAAGACTCCCGCAGTCCTGTAAAGGCTAGCAAGTTCTAGTTGCCATAGGATTTCGAGGACGACAACTTGTTTCTTTGGATGCACATGAAATCTGAAAACCTATACCAACTCACATTACAACTCAGGACCAAATTGCCCACGATTTACAGGTTTTACAGAGGGATTTATATGTCCTAATGTACCTTTGCTGGATTGCTGCCTTGAGCAATTCAGAGAAGATATAGGCTATGCCGTGCAGGGACACCCAAGACAGACAGGTCATAGTGGAGAGTTCTGACTAAACACAATCAACCTGGAGCAGGAACTGGCAAGCCACTCTAGTATCTTTGCCAAGAAAACTCCATGAACAGAAACAAAAGGCTAAAAGATATGATGCTGGAAGATGAGCCCCTCAGGTCGGAAGGTGTCCAACATGCTACTGAGGAAGAGCGGAGGAGAAGTACAAGTCGCTCCAGAGCTAATGAAGTGGTTGGGCCAAAACTGAAAGGACACTGAGCTGAGGATGCGACTGGAAGTGAAAGTAAAGTCTGATGCTGCAGAGAAAAATACTGCATAGGAACCTGGAATGTAAGATCTATGAACCTTGGTAAGCT